TATCTCCGTCTCCGTCTAATGAGGCCGAAAATCCGCCATGTTTAGCGCGCCAAATGTCATTGTCACGTCAGTTCGGCCGTCTGTTTTGGGTTGTACATTATTTATTGACTATGATATCGATTTAATATGATTGATTATATAAAATTTCATAATTTATCATGCTTAAAACATACAAAAATAATAATTAAAACGTATTTTATAGGATCTCAAGAAAGTCGATGTCCTAAAACTATTATCTATATGTATTTAAATTCATTATGGAGCCCTCATCCGAAAAATCCATTTTTCGGTCGGAATCTATTGATCATGACACTAATCATAAATACCACTTTAAAATATGTCATCAAAACATATTTAGACATTCTGTTTAGATATTTCGGGAAAAAGGCTACCGACAAAATCTCTTCGGAACTATTTAAATAAAATAGTTTTATTCCGCAGTGAGTAAAACACTATTGTAAATTTGTTAAATATTTAATAATTAAGTGATTTTAGAGAGGAAGTCACAAGGAATGACGTTTGTAATTAATGAATAAATGTTCTGTAGGTGTTTTTTTTTTCACGCGGTCCCTTGATAAGTTTAAAATTTGAATCACTCTCAAGCGAAAGTGATTCAAATGGTGCGGCGCACCTTCCTTGGGGTGCGCTGCGGTAGTGTGTTACGGACTTTAGAGTCAGCACAACAATTAAAATAGATTGTAATAGTCTAAGAAAAACACGTACTCAAAATACGATAACATTTAGCATGCTAGAAATGGGCAGATGGCACTGTACTACGCCATATCTTTATGTTTTGCGATAAACGACAACTTTATAAAATCAGTGTAGCAACTTTTAAAAATCATCATATCGTTTACTCGGCAAATTCGAAGGACGAACTTGTCTTAGATTTCACCCATCTAAATCATATCATACTTGCACATAACAATATACCTACTTACTTCCCATTAAAGTATAAATTCTACAAATAAATAATACTCAACAATATTTAAATAAAATGAGCCAAGAACGTTTATCGATAAAACCTGATAACATTGAAATCTTTTGTACAGCACTAAAACCGCCATGTTTTGTGGTCAGATGACGTCACAGTGGCACGAATTTTTGGTTGACGTTTCATTTCCATAGGTTTCCTACTTCAGTGTTTATGTTTTATTTTATGTACGCACTGAAATACTATTATACTGTTTTCCTGCGAGTTACAGTGCTGAGTAAGAACGAGATAGATATATGTTTATGTGTGTGCCTTCAAAATGGGTGCTATTTGTATAATATGCAATTGTACTTTAAAGGTCTATGGTTTTCGCGAGCCGTAGGCATAACAGTATACAGTTTATATTCTATTCTACTTCTATAGTGTAATCTCACTTTTATTCATATGATGACGAATTAGTCTAGAGTTAGACTCCTTAGTCTTCCGTGACCACGAAAACTGTCAAGTATTCAAAACGTAAAATATAATGTAATTATGATAATAATTATGTAATGATGATGATTTTTTTTATTCTGTCTAAAGATATTGACGTGTATATTTAAAATGCGTTACAAAAAACTATTATCATTAATTACGTTAAATAAATAAATACTAAACATAATTTGGTAGTCATAAAGCCTGTAGTGAATGTTGTGTATCATGGAAATAGCTTATGTTGCGTTATGTTTTTTGAATCGCTAGTTATTGGTCAGCCTTGAGACACTACCAAAGAAGAGAAGGCATGATTAAACCGAAACGAATAGCCCCGCGTTTATTAATCATAGAGAGAGAGAGAGAGAGAGAGAGAGAGATTACACTTTATTGCACACTAACACAATTTACATTCAAAAAAACAGTCAAAAAGCACATACATTTGTACAATAGGCGGTCTTATAGCTAAAAGCGATCTCTTCCAGACAACCGTTTAATTTACAGAAATTCTGTAAAATATAAAAATATAGCAGGTATGTTGCGGTGTACCATAGACAATACATTATTATCGAAAATATATCATACTTAAAGATTTTTACTTAGTGAATTATTTCTCACAAAGTTCAGAGTAATGTTTCAGACGCGTGTACATGTGATCTGTCTGAGCAACACATGTCTATGTACCACAACAATCAATATCTACCTTCACTGAAATAAAAATAAATGTTAACATTCTCGAACACATGAGTAAGCTGTATGAAAAACATTTACAATGCAAAAGAAATTGGCACTCTACAACTCTTAAGAAAGGTTTAGAATACTGAAAAAAACAATAGACGATAAAAATTTATTATCATGTAATAGAATCATGCACTCTTTCAGAATAAATGACTTCATATCTAATTAATCTCTTATCTCTTGAATGAAACTCTTTTTTCCGCCACTTTTGTGCTGTAACAGCTGTCCGTTATGTTTTTATCCACCATAGTACGAGTAGGCAACACCGGTAGTAGTCGTTTTAAAACCGATTTTTTTAACACATTTGAATTAAATAAACGATACTTCGGGTTTTATTTTCACACATTCAGTTTCGGAGATTCCCTCCTTTTTTATTATGGAAGGATTACTGGTGGCCCGGAGACCTTTCCAGTTTCACCAGGACAGGTGGGCGAGCAAAGGCTCAGCCAGGAGGGGTGGGATTTGCTAACAGCTGCCCGAGCGCCTCCGAAGGAGACCTAACAACTCATGAGCAGCTGCTTCGCGAATGAATCCACGGTGTTTCCCGAGCGCTATGAAATGTCCTTCTTCAAACGAGGCTTGTGGAGAGTATTAAGCGGTAGGCAGCGGCTTGGCTCTGCCCCTGGCATTGCTGAAGTCCATGGGCGACGGTAACCACTCACCATCAGGTGGGCCGTATGCTCGTCTGCCTACATGGGCAATAAAAAAAAAAACAGAAATACTTCATTTTTCCCCCTCAATAATCTCATACGTTATAAACTGTTTTTTTTTTACTTTTTACGAGATTGTCGAAGCCGATGACACTTTGTTCACAACTTTTTATGATAATAAAATTTTGAAGTTAGTGTGAGTGGCAATAGGTGATTTTGATGAAAATTCATCAGGAAAATGTTGAATATGTCTCTACTGAACAACGATCTTTGATTTAAATTTTTTTTGAGTCAATTGTAATGACTTCCTATTATCAAGCATTATATCAAAACGAGTGCCCTCCTAATCGAGAAAATGTCCCAAACTACAAACCGCTAATACAGCTAACAGAAATACTACTTAAAAAACTAATAGAAGTAAACGCTTTTTAAACAAATATAAAGTGAATATTGTGTATCCTAAATTATAACTGACAATTAGTACAATGCGAAATTTAAGTGAACTAATGAGCTCGAAATAAAGAAATTCATGATGAGTTTTTGCCAAGAAATACAAAAGCTTCAGTAACGACAGATAATTAGCTGCGAGCGAAGAACATGAGTTTTCGGACGTTGAAGGATACGCCCCTTCTAATGTTTATCAAAAACTGTGACCAGATGTGGCCAGAAGTAATGTTTATCAAAAAAGATCAAGCTTATCAAGAATTTGCATTTACATGGTTATTGTATTTTTTTTAAATTTGTTGTAATTAATTATGGGTTAAGCAGTGTAAAAGGAAGCATTTCCAGAAACCGAAATCATGTGAGGATAGTTATTTCACGATACCGACGGATACACCGTTAACAATACATGATACTGTATACTATATATTATATTATAAAAGAATATAACCTAACATGCTAACAATATCGTCAAATAATTTTATTTGTTTTGTTTTTGCGTGTGTTGATTCAGACGAGGCACGGCACGTTACAACAATATAAGAAAGATTCATTTGGAAGGCAGCGGTTATGACCCTTAGCTATGAGGACTACTACTTAAAGAAGACTATTTTGCCACAAACTATTTAACGGGTTCTTACTACAAGTTTATTGCTTGGACTAGAAAGAAAGTAAACAGATTTGTCTGCTCTTACCATCCTACGCGTAGGTCTCAGTATCGGTTGCGATAATGGGTTCGGCGAGTAAACTAATCATTTGACACAGTCCACTGAGTTTCTCGCTGGATCAGTGGGTCGCGTTTCCGATCCGGTGGTATATTCTTTTTTTTTTATTTTATTGCTTAGATGGATGGACGAGCTCACAGTCCACCTGATGTTAAGTGGTTATTGGAGCCCATAGACATCTACAACGTAAACGCGCCACCCACCTTGAGATATAAGCTCTGAGGTCTCAGTATAGTTACAACGGCTACCCCACCCTTCGAACCGAAACGCATTACTGCTTCACGGCGGAAATAGGCGGAGTGGACCTACCCTATCTGGAGTGGTCCTACCCGTGCGGACTCCCAAGAGGTCCTACCACCAGTGACACCAGTTCTGCGAAGCACTGCTCTTGCTAAGGCCAGTGTTAGCAACACCTCCAGTTTGAGCCCCGAGAGCTCACCTACACGCAAGGGTAACGCTGATATAGCCTCTCAAAGCTATCAGCACAGGTAGGAAAAAAAATCCTTGTGCTTTGTAAAATTTACCTGACCGAGTAATAAAACTAGCCACTTCATCTTTATATTATAACTAGCGACCCGCCCTCGCTTCGCTTCGGAAACATTAAAACACACATGAANCAACACCTCCAGTTTGAGCCCCGAGAGCTCACCTACACGCAAGGGTAACGCTGATATAGCCTCTCAAAGCTATCAGCACAGGTAGGAAAAAAAATCCTTGTGCTTTGTAAAATTTACCTGACCGAGTAATAAAACTAGCCACTTCATCTTTATATTATAACTAGCGACCCGCCCTCGCTTCGCTTCGGAAACATTAAAAAACACATGAAACCAAAAAAAAAAAATTTAAAAAAAATTTAAAAAAGTAGCATATGTTCATCAGGGACAATGTCGGCTTCTAATGGAAAAAGAATTTTTCAAATCGGTCCAGTAGTTTCGGAGCCTATTCGAAACAAACAAACAAACAAATATTTCCTCTTTATAATATTAGTATAGATATAGATTAGTATAGATAAAGTGTAATTGAAAATTCTCAAAAGCTTACCTTTCCAAAACTGCCTTTTCCCAAAACTTTGATGAAGTGAAAATCTTCAACCGTATATTTTCTGAAGCGGGGTATGGACCTGGCTGGTGGTGTGAACCGGCCTGTTTTACGGAAAATACCGTAAGCCGTAGATTGCTCTGTAAATAACATTTAACTAGTTTTATTTATAATACATAAGACGCAACACATTTAGAAAAATATAGACACGTAAAATATAGATTAAATGAATAAATAATTTATAAAGAAAATTTTAGTTCGACTCAAAGTTAGTAGATGATAGTACTATCTTGATTCTTTTAAAAAAAACAACAAATTGTCCTTGTAGTGTCCATTGTGAAATGAGATATTAGCGCAAATGTTGTGCCGTATCTTTATATATAGCGTAATACAGAATATATTTTTGTTGAAAAACATATTTTAGGAGTTAATCACGTTATGTAGGTTGATGATTCTCTACATTATACATTACCATAAATTATACATCGATTAATAAACGTAAATCAAAAACTAGATTAAATTTTTATTTCGTTATAAAAATAGCTAAATAATGAGTTTCTAACTTTCTAGGCTACCCGATGTTTTCCAGACATTCTGACGCTCGCAAAATTTTCTACGAAACTACCGCGTGATCACTAGTTTTTTTTAGTTTTCTTCATTATTCAATATATTCGTAAATTTTTCCTTGATAATTGCGATAGCTTCACAGTAGCGAAAAAAACAAAATAATGCTCCCATAAGGTAATTAAATTTTTCATTTTATTTTGTTACCTCGGATTCCCAACGATAAATCATCCATATACGCAGTATTAGTTATTTTGTAATTATTAGTTTTAGTTGGCCGTATGAAAAGACAATAAATATTAATAAAAAGGATGTAGCGTAAATTGTGACAGTAAAACTTAAAGGAGCAGGTCATCGACTTTAGAAGTTGACACAACATGACGGTTTGAACCACCGCTAAATATTATGACATAATTTTCGTGAAGGCACATGCTGTGATACATTAAATCTCTTTCACCGCGGTCGAGATCGCGGACGTTGCTAAAAATATATGCTCAGACAGAACAATATCAAGGTCGATGGGAATAAATTTGGGAAATCACGGGATCTTCAAAAACAATTTCTGTTTGACTATTTTTCGAACGTCAACCGTTTTTGGTTAAATTTAAATTAGTATGTAATAATAATTTATGAAAAAATTCTCGAATTATCTTCTCAAATTACTCTATTTACGTGTTCCATAATAATAATTATGAAGTCGACTAAAATGTTGATTCGAGTCCTAAGGACACTGTGGAAGTATCATAATGTAGATCTAATAATGTCTTCATAAGCGGCAATTTCGTTTTATTAGCATTCGTTCGTCGACGGTAGATACCACCGTCCTGTCTGTTCCTACAGGGAAATCTATATAATATAATAATATATCTGTTGTTGGTTGTGGTTTAAGTGGGCAGGCGCTATACAATAAAATTGAAGCTTCCATTTTATGTCTGACTGGTAGATGACGTCATCCATCTATCGACTCATCTGTTCTGTATAAGCAATGTATATTGTTTTTATTGCATAGATGGGTGGACTAGCTCACAGCCCACCTGATGTTAAGTGGTTACCGGAGCCCATAGACATATACAATGTAAATGCCGCCACCCACCTTGTGATATGAGTTCTAAGGTCTCAGTATAGTTACAAGGGCTGCCCCACCCTTCAAGCCGAAACGCATTACTGCTTCACGGCAGAAATAGGCAAGGTGGTGGTACCTACCCGTGCAGACTCACAAGAGGTCTTACCACCAATAAAATAACGTTCTAATCTCGAATCCGTACCTTTTCATTTCCAAATCACTACCCAAACGTCTACATATCGTCACGCATCAGCACCGCACCATATCGAAGAATTTATTTTGTAATAAATTAAATGGTAGTGCTTTATTTCGTGCCACATTCTCGTTAAAATCTATTAAAAGTGACTTTTTAAATTGTGTAACGATTTGGCGCGAATGTCATCGCTATCATTCATCGGTATGAGGTTTTGAATTTTTTTTGTCAATTTATGAAGTGGAATCTAGGACACAGTATGTCTTTTCGGGGAATCTAACGGAAAACAATTTTGAGTACTACCGATTGTCACGAAATCGAATAAATTTAAATGAAAAAAAAGTATAGATATTTTAATGGTTATTATCGTAAAAGATAATATATATTTTTTACATGATTTCATCCTCGTCATCACATCAGTACTACCTGCCGTATATTTTCGCAGTAATCCACAAATATAGCACATATATTTTATAGAAACATATTTTCCTTTTTAGTTATTGAGATGTTTTCAAGTTTAGGCTACTAATTTCTGAATTAGATTGGCTCACAAAGGGCCGTAATACTAGTAAAAAGATCTATAAAAAGAAATATTTCCTTCATGATTAGCTGTATTTTCTCCCAAGAGAGTCATGGACAGAGAAACATTTAAACTGTTTCAAGGCCATGACCACGACCCTCAGTAATGAGGAAACCGACGCAAGGAGGAGCTGTATTTTAAACGATTGTCTAATACAAGAAACTATAATAGCATTTTTAAATGAAAGTTTCATGTTTGTGCAGTGTAAGAAAGCATTAAGGTCACTTGCGTAAAAAATTACAATTTCTTTCCCTGTTGCTTGCAGTAATTGTAACCAAAGATTTTATCATAAAACAACAAAAGGTACATTTGTTTTAAATGCTTATAAAACTAAAATACCATGTAGTGTTGATGCATTTTCCTTGGTTTTTTTTTGGCACGCTTTTTTTTTCACAGATCCGGTATGCGGAACGATTTTAAAAATATACCAACCGTTTTCGTTGTTGAACAAAAAAGTTATATTTTCAATTCAAGTTTTGTATCTATGTTTTTTTTTTTTTTTACCTCAGGATAAAATCGCCGGATCTCCGCCCGCACGGCGGGTATGTGTGAGTTGGATTTGTATTTATGTTGCTTCTTTTTCTACAAACAACACTTCCTAACCTTTGCCAATTGTGTCACGTATTAAATACTTCAAGTCAGTTCAAGTCGAGATCTAAAAATGTACATTAGATTTTACGATTTTAGCCCATTTACTACTCTTGTTACACATTTATATGTTATATTCTATTAAAACATTTTTATTTACAATAATATCGTTCAATTATGAGTGTTAGCAGCAGCAAGCATAAAGGCATCATAATATTAATGACAAAACATTCACAGTAAATGTTCAAGGGGCGTCTCCTTCGAAACGCGACTATTACGGTTAATAAAAAAATCTTTGATTTCTCACCAAGCTCCTGTTCCAATATATCAGTGGAACAATTCACCGAGCTGCTACATGAAGATGTTCCGGGATTCTCTCCGCCTGCAGGAGTAAAATTAGTTAAGCTGTTCCTTCTCATTTCAATATAGGACTTATTGGCCCTGTCTTATGGCCAGTTATAATATGTTACATGGTGTTTAAACGCAGTTTTAGACACTGATGTATTTAAAAAATCTAATCGAAGTTTATACAATTTTAAACCTAGATAGATAGACTATGTATTATTTATTTATATATTGTTGGTACAGGGGCTATTCTAGCTTAAATCGGAACTCATGAATGCAGAAATAGGAAGAAAAAAGGTACACATCAACATGTGATCTTATCAATAAATGATTCTTTTTCCACTTCCTAAGCTGAATTTTCATCTTTTTGAGCACGTTATCAACCTGCCACAACCCTTAATATTAATAAACATGTAGTCAATATTACTACAAAATGTTTAGTCTCCTTTTCAAATATGTTTTGCGTATGTGGTTTATTCGGCATGTCTGGTCTTTTGGAACATTTTATGTGCCTATAAAAGTGGAAAACATTCGCGGTTAGTTAGTGCTTATTTTAATCACCTTTTTATGTTACATGCTGTTCGTTACACATGATATTTTCAAATAAAAGACACGCATCTAAAATCATGGAGTTCCTAAAGACGGTCAACGATTTTTTTGAAGATTTTGAATGTTCTTTTAAAACAATTCATACATCGCGTTTAGTCTCCTCATCTGGGCGAGTTGTTTAGAGTGGTCAAAAATATAATGAAATATTATTAAATAATCGAGCAGTATCCGCGAATTCATAGCCGCAAATATTATTATGTGTAAAATCATCAACACATTATAAGGCATACATCGTTTATCACTAAAAGAAATTGAATTGAAGTAAAATTAAAATGCTAACACCATTTTAGGGCTCGCACAAAATGAATTTACAAACAGCTAAAAACGGCATATTTGTTAATTTCCAAAACTGGAATCATGTTAAGTTACTTGAAAAGGATGACAATTTTTTTTCGATTTCACATTGGTACAAATGGCGTACAATGGTAGGCAGCGGCTTGGCTCTGCCTCTGGCATTGCTGAAGTCCATGGGCGACGGTAACCACTCACCATCAGGTGGGCCGTATGCTCGTCTGCCTACAAAGGCAATAAAAAAAAATGGCGTAGATAGTCTGCGCAAAGTTCATCGCCAAAGAAAGCAAAGTCAGGCGTTTGCTTAATAGATAAAAATACAAATAGTACGTTTGAAGTCCAGCCAAGTAATCGACGAGCACTTGTAGTAATGGGAATCCGAATCTCGGTCACATCAATCATACCACTTCTATTGACGCAACCGATCAATGATCAGAAGAAAGTTCAACGGATTGTCCAATGCTATTCAATAAATTCTAAACAAAATTTAGGACATAGGAATTAACCGATACGAATTTTAATGGTCTCCAGTATAATTTCAGAGAGAAAGATATTTTACAATATAACCTTGAAGTGGCATATTTTCTTTGCCTTACATCTAGAAAACCTTTTCTTAGGTGATAAAGACTGCCGTTTTAGCAAAAAATTGCAAAATACACACAGTAAATTTAAATAACAAATGCGCCTCATAAATATTTTACTGACTTTAGCCAATAATTGACCCGTTAATATGTGTTTCGACAGCAATCAGTTCTATTAATTCAACACAGGTGAGCAAAAGATTGGACACAGTCCAGACAACCGCCTCACACACCCACGCTTCTGTGTACCACAGAGCATAAACAAATACTCACAATTTACTTGCCATGTCGATTACAACAACGACAAGATATTGTTACCTTTATATATTAGTAGTAAACAAACATGTTTTCGACGCTCAAAGTATGTAAAATTTCCTACAGCATGTAGCTGTATAATATTTTATTGTATAGAAATAATCTTTTAATTAAGTCACATGCTAATTTACATCATTTGTCCTGTTTTGTTTTTAATTTGTTTTTAGAAGTATTTTAGTTAAACATTTATGAAAATGATTGAAAGATATAGTAAGAGACTTTCACAATTTAAAATTATAGTTGCAATTTGTTTTTACTTTTAACTATATGACAATTGTTTTATTTTGAAAAATAAATATTTGCACAAGAATAGTTACCAACAGATATCATCTGGTTAATAAAACAAAATTTTTATTTTTAGCAATACGCTTGACGTAACCTCTGACGTGAACGTTTCTCGAACTTGTAAGTATGAATTTTCAATTTAATTATGTTGGTTACTATTAATTTATCGTAATAATTAAAATTTCTACCTTTTTTGGAAGGATTTTTTGTGGCCAAAGCCTCCACCAACAGTCGCTGATTTACGCCGCACAAATTTGCAGTCAGTTTTTCGCACTTCCGATGGCAGTTTACGTCACAGTCTAAAAAACAAACCTGGCGCTGGAAGAATACTCGCTTGCAGTTTTTCACACAAAGGATTTTTCAATTAATTTGCAATAAAGCCATGCGAAAGCCGAAGTTCGTGCAGTGTGTTAAGAGAAAATTAGTTGAAATGACAGCTGATGAGTATATTTACAGGTAGATTTACTAATAATTTTACTTTGCATGTTTTATTATGCTTTGTGTGTTCATGGTTTAGTTTACCTTTTTTAATTTGAGAGAATAGAGCAGGAGACGCTGGTGCAGAAGAATCAAATCCAGAATCGTTTGAACCCGTCGACGTTCTACCGTCGATGTTGACTTCGCATTCGTAGAATTCTTCTGACTCTTCGCTGCTGTCAGATTCACTATCATCATCTGATGAATCCTCTTCTGAAGACGAATCAGAAGAATCAGATGAGCGTATCACTTGAGGTGGTTTCTTTTGTAAAGGTCGCGGTGTGGCGATCAATGGTCTCAGAGCCGGTTCTGGCTTCACAGGTTTTTTTGTGATTGGAGGAACTGGTAGGGTAGCGATCCCTATGCTTGATTTTTTATCTTCATTAGTTGAAGCCATTTCTTCATGGGAAGCTTTTAGAATAGTACTAGACTTTGTTTCTTCTGTTTTTACGATATCTTGGGATGTGGAAGGTACACTTATGTCGTTATTATTATTTGGAATGTTTTCAGATTTTAATACTATCGGAATTACAGGTACGCTAGTAGTAGCATTTATATTGTGAGCCGCGCGTTCATTCTCTGAACTGATTTTGTCATGCGTTTTATTTTTAATGCTAGCATTAATTACAAGCTTTGACTCTTTGTCGTTGATCAACATGTCAGGACCAGTTGAACTACTGAGTGCTGTTTGATCTGCGTTGGACTCAACTTTTTCTTTAGACATAGAAATAATTTCACTGTTTGGTTGTTCTTTTTTCGTATGAATTGAAGCTAATTTAGAAGCTTCGCATTCGAAATTAAGTTCTTGATTCGTTAATTTTTGATCGGACGGCACTGTTTTACATGTACTTTTTTCTTCGCTGGCTTTATTTGATTTCGAGACTTTAATTATTTTCTTCTTTTTAGAAACCACTTCTGTTTCTTTTAATGATTTTACCTCGTGATTTAATGAGGTTGACTCCTTATTTTCTTCTTTTAGCTTTGCTGAACTGCTTTTGGTGTCAGTTTGAGTTTTTTCAGATGACTTTTGTTTTAAAGAGACTGATTTTTGTTTTATGCAGCTTTCCACAGGCTTTGTCGTTTCTTTATTTTCATTAGGTTTGTCCACTACTTCAGCCTTTAAAGATATTTGATTCAATTCTGATTTACTGTCGTTAATTACAGAAGATAAAGTCTTAATACTCTCTGCTTCAGTGCTCAGGTTTGTTGTTTCTGTATCTGTTTCATTGCTTCTGGCTTTTATTGCACTTGGTTCTTGTAATGTCTTTTGTTCATCACCAATATTTTGTCGTGAAGGTTTGTTATTATCATTATTATTGTTTGTCATTACATCTTGATTTTTTTCTCTTTGGTCAATTATATAATCCTCTTTATTTTTCAAAGAAGGAAGTTTTTCACTATCGTTTTTTAACTTCGGTGTCATTACCTTTTTCGGTTCGGCTTTTTCTGTGTTACCTTGTTTTAAATTTGTACATTCATTTTGATTTAATGGTATTACTTTTGCTTCAAAGCTTGATTGTTCCACCTTTTCTATATTAGTGCTGTTATGGTCTGAATGCAAATCTTCTAGTACTGCTTTTGGAATTACTTTGGTAACAGTTTTATCAATATCACCACTAAGAATTGTTTGTTCAGTTTTACTTTCATTACTTTCATTCAAATTAGTGTTTTCAACCGTAACAGGATTTTTTTCGGATTCCAAATTTCTCTCAGATTCGTCTTCTTCTTCTGGGAACCAAAACAGTGCACGCTTATTTTGCTCTTTCATTTCTTCCAACTTTTTTTTCCTTTTAATTAAATAGACTGTTTCTCGTTTACCTATTTTATTCCAAAAATTACCATCGTCAGGGTCCGGTGACGCAGATTCACTTTCCACTTTAATTTCTGAAGCTTCTTCTTTCCCCTCCAGTTTCCTTTTTTCTAATTTTAGCGTAGGTGTCGGTGTTTCCTCGACTTCACTTGTAAAAATAATTCCCTTTCTAATCGGCCGTAGTTTCTGCTCTACTATTACATCTTCGATAATAAATTTCAAAGGACTTTGCGGAGTCGTCACCTCAACGGAAGATGTTATTTTAGTTTTAAGCCTCGGCTTTTTTACTACTTTTTCTTGCGTTTTTTCTTTTATAGGCGGTAAATCTAATTTGATAGGTTCTTTGGGAAATTCTGTTATGGAATCTAACCTACAAATGCTACCTCCAGACAGTGATTTTTTTAAACTCCGCCGCTTGCCTGATTTTTTCTTAATTTCTCTATTTTCTACTAATGATTTTAAACTATCATGTAAAGAATGATCAGATTTTGTTGTTTTCAATGAATTTCGTTTCTCATCGGTTTTATTTTTAACTACAGAAGGTGGTTTTGTGTTTTCTTTGCTGTTATAAGTAGTACCAACTTTGCTGACATCCAAAGTCGTTGTACTTAAATTTTCGTTGCGTATCAATGAATCCAACAGCTTCGCTTGTTCCGCTAGTAATTCCACAGAACATCGTCTATCTGTAAGTTTACACATACTTGCTTCTGAAATAGATCGAGTGTCACTAACTTCTACATCGTTACCTGAATCTTCAATGACAGGTTGCTTATCACTGCTTGTTAAGACATCATCTTTCAGTGCGAATTTTTCTACAAGCTTTGTACCTAAAGTCTTCTTTACCTTTTTATCTTTATAAATTAAATCGTCAGAGAGCCTTTCCCTCCATCTTAATGATTCTTGATTTTTTGTTTCATTTGAGCCTGTCTTATCTACATCTAATCTTTCCGAGCTAGTGTCTTTTTGCAGTTGCTGAACAGGTTTGCGAGGGGAATCACGCTCCTTCCTCTTTAACGTATGAAATCTGACTACTGTTCTACCCCGTTTTATGGTACTCCTTTGTGTACCAGGAGACGAATCAATACCTGTTTCAGGCTTACCGTCCACCCTTGGCATAAATGGTCCATTTTCTTTTTCTTCACTTCCAGTCTCTGGGATCTCCTTACACAAAGCTGACGAATCTTCAACTTTTTGTTTATATTTATCTCTCGAAACATCAATATCAGCAGTATTTATATTAATAGGTCGAGAAGTGTACCCGGAACTTGAATAGTTTCTTTTCGATAGAGGAATGCGCCTTGGGCTGTTTATTCTAGAAGGGCTGGCGGTCGATCTCTCGGAAATCGTGCTCAGAATAGGAGCGTAACACCTTCCGACACCTGGGATCCACCGCGAAGACAACGGCGTCCGCGAATATCCACTAAGAGAAGAATGATTACTGTAACTCCCTCCTGGGTTTAAATACGAAGCACTGTACGAAGTCCCGAGTGGTAAAAGCGAACTGTTATAACTATATGGTGAACTGTAAGACGCAGATCCACTGTAATACATGTTCGATATGTGTTCGGAAAACAGTGGCATGATTTACACTAAGCGCAGTCCTCGGAGCGACCGGCTCGCTCTCAGAGACGCGCGCGTAGACTGCATAACGCGCGTATTACAGGTACGTCTTCGCCCACCATCGAATCCCGCCCGCCCTTCGCCGAACGCTATGCCAGGTGATTGATTGATGATCTTGCGTGCAATAATAGATCATACATGTGACTATAGTCATTTCAGGATCTCGGAAGGAACTCATTAATAGCAAATGACTCGAACGCTAATTAAAAATCTTTTGTGTTGTACAATCATTTTATTTATTTTTAAAATGACTTTTTTTATTTTTTTATTGCCCTTGTAGGCAGACGAGCATACGGCCCACCTGATGGTGAGTGGTTACCGTCGCTCATGGACTTCAGCAATGCCAGGGGCAGAGCCAAGCCGCTGCCTACCGCACTATTAGCAAACCGAGATATAACATATTATTATTTGGTTTTGTATTTTGTTTATCTCAAATGTGTTTAAAAGTCAAATTGTAATTTAAAGTCTTTAATATAAATTTAATGTCTAGCTTTGAACATCTCAGGTAAAGTGGTGAAACGCCTTGAATCCGAGTGTTACAAATAAGTCGTCGTGACACTCGTATTTATAGAATTGTATTGTCGCTTCTTCCCACACGGTGTGGACTAGGTTTTCTTAAGAAAAACATCTATTTTTAACGAGAGTAATACTGGTATTTCAAAAAGTTCAAAGTAACAGAACTAAAGCTAGGGTAGAGCTTTTTTTCGCAAATAATGCGTAATGACAATACAAGTTACTAGCTAACAATTTGGTTTCATTGCGCTTACTCTCCGAAAAGTGCTATGATGCTTTTTTACCTCTGTATTGATTTATGATCTAATGATGTTTTAAATAATTTAATTACCGTATGGTTTTGTATATTCCCTGTTCCTTTATTTTCTACGCCAGTAAATGTACGTCAGTAAATGGCCTCGGAAAATAAGTCGTAGATTCCTCATTAGGAATTCCTAATGAGGAATCTACGACTTATTTTCCGAGGCCCTTCATGACGTGTTAAAGAACACTCCAATATTTTTCTAATCTAATTAATATTCGTAAGTTATATATTATACTAGCGACCCGCCCTCGCTTCGCTTCGAAAACATTAAAACACACATGAAACAAAAAAAAATATATAAAAAAATAAAAAAAAAGTAGCCTATGTTCATCAGGGACAATATCGGCTTCTAATGGAAAAAGAATTTTTCAAATCGCTCCAGTAGTTTCGGAGCCTATTCGAAACAAACAAACAAACAAATCTTTCCTCTTTATAATATTATTAGTATAGATATATTTCAAATCGATCACTCTGGTTTTACATTTTTTTATTGCCAACGCGAAATAACTATAAGGGTGGTTCCTGGTACAAGACAGATCTCGTACTTGAAAAATCTAGGCACAGACTTCAAAGTGAACATATTAATAAGTTCCCCGCCTTAAAAACACTTTTGGAATCACGATAGCCGGTGACATCAGCCCGGTGACTTTCTCGCCAGATCTTCTCAACGGGTCGCGATTCCGATCCGGTAGTAGATTCTTTCGCGAAGCAGTTGCTATTGAGTTGTTAGGTCTCCTTTGGAGGCGCTCGGGTAGCTGTTAGCAAATCCCACCCCTCTTGGCTGAACCCTTACTCGCCCACCTGCCATGGTAAAACTGGAAAGGCCTCCGGGCCACCAGTAATCTCTCAAACATAAAAAAAAACATACGGTACAAACCACAGAGAGAACCGAAGTCCCCCGTAAACCCAGAGGTTGCAAACGATCCGTGTGATTATCGACAACCCGAATGGCCATCGTCTGTATAGAGTTAAAGTGAAATAGCTGGTATTTGGGAGACCCCTACCTATAGGTGGCAGCAGTACTCCACGAAAGGCCAAACTTGTGCCTTTAACCGAATTTCCAGAATTTTTCAATCTGTCAACAATAATACCAACTTTATTTGCATTTATTCACATTTTACGATTCGTTTCATTATTTTATACTTTTTTTTTAATAATGACTACTTATTACAAGCACAAAAAGGAGCAAAAGCAACTTCATTCTAACCGGGTGTCGATGAGACACCTCTCTCTTTTTATTTATTACACAGATGGTTAATCGAATTCATCGCCAGCCTGATGTCTAGTGTTTTTTTACCCTATTCATATGCTGGTAGCCTAAGGGATTATTCCAGATACGCGCGGACATCTAGGAGAGCTCACAGATTCAACCTGAGAGAATTTGCTAACACTGCTGCAAGAGCAGTGCTTTGCAGAATCTAACACCAGTTCGGAATCGCGACCCACTGAGAAGATTCGGCGAGAAACTCAGTGAGCTGTGTCTATGGGTTACTCTTCATCGTAATCGATGAGTTTGACGAGAGCACCGAGAGTGGATCCGGGGAATCCGACAAGATATGTTTCGGGTGACGGCGGCTTTGCGTTGCTCCGTCGCTTGGGTCGGATAGGCAATTAACGGCGGCCACATTAAGAGGATTATCGTCTCGCGCCCCTTTGTTGAAGTAGTATTCTGACACTACCTTAAAATACTTACGTATACGCTCTACATTTAAATCATTGTGAAGGTTAATATTCCTCACGTACCAAGGACGTGCTCCAAGGACTATCCTGCAGAAACGAGAATGGATGAATTGGAGAGAGTTGCAGATCATGGGATAGAGTAGCGCACAGACTTAAACCGGATCTACTGATTAAATGAGGCCAAAAACCTTACAACTTAAATGCCGCCTTGAGAATTGAGATTGAAGCCTTATTTTTATTGTACATCGGTTGTAGCGTCGGAAGGCAAGACTGCTTTGCATCAGAAATAGGTTGGCATTATGGTGATACTTACTTGTGCGCGGTAAGAATACGCCCTCCTACCACTTTAAAAAAAGTGTAACGAGTACAATACTACAACTACAATCGATATAGTATCTATCTATCTAATAGATGGCACCGAGCGATTACCTAGGCACTGGTTTAAACGGTTGTTGAAAAACTGAAAAAACAGTACAATAATATATGTTAAAATAATATATTTTAAGTAACAAATAAAGCGTTTAAGTTAACGTTATAACGTTATATGTCGAGTAGAGCAGAACCTCTTTATTGGAGCACTTTTTTGTTTTTGTTGCATAACGGTTTATTACCGGTGTAACGGTTTTTAATTTCTATCCTAGAATTCTAAGATTTGTACCGACTTAATAAGTAGGTACATAGATTAGCTACTGGGAGTAAGTAATTTTTGACTTTCATTAACAATCGTATTACCGTCGAATCATTCAATTACCGGGTATTCAGCTTTGTGCTTTTTTTATAGGAATTATTTATATTTAAAATATATCATATTTAATTTAAAAAACTATACTATACTATATACTAATAAGTACTTGTAATTTTTGTATAACTATTTAACAATTATCTAAATTTATATATAAGAAAAGAAAAATAGATATTTGCAGTTATTTTTGCAACACGAGAGTTTCATCTTAAATTAAGGTACAGAAATATGTTAATTAAATTCGAAGTCCACTGCTCTCTCTTTTTTTTAATCCAGAACAAGTCGTGCGTTCGGGTTTGAAGAATAAAGTTGGTGGACGTGGACTTCGGTCTGTACTTATCCACAATTCTAAATTTAAAATAAAGAATACTTCATCCCTGTAAAACAATTATCTAAACAGTAAAGTTATTCAAGCTAAAGACAGTATTACGCGGTGATTTTAACGTCTTCGACTCTTAAATTACTAGTCAAAAGATTGTCTCCATTAATGAGTTCCAAATTCAAAAGTATCTGTCAGATTAAATATAAATTATAAAGGTGTTCTTCTTCTTCTTCTCAGTCGTACACTCCTGGCGGAGTGGTCGTGGTTACGTATGTCTTAATGTTTGGTTGCGGCTTTTGAGAGACTTCTCCATCTCTCTCTATTTGTGGCAGTACGTGTACACTCAGTAAGGGAACACTTCGTAGATGACTTAATCAAGTCTGTCCACCTTGTGGATGATCGGCCGCGAGAGCGTTGACCGTCTACTCTTCCTTGAACCACTAAGCGTTCCAATGAGCTTTCATTACGAATGATATGTCCAAACATATTAAGGATTCGCAATTGCACAATCGACGAAAGCCTTTGTTTGATTTGGAGGCATACAATTATTATGTGTATAGTTTTTATTAGAATGAACATGATTTAATTAATTTCAACAGTGAGCTAAGAGATTGCAATGCTACGCAATATTCACATACATTTAACTTTAAGCAGCACACATAGTATAAGACAACATTTCCCATTAGAAAATACATATTATACAAACCAAGCAATACAAGCAGAATATCAAAAGCAAAATAAAACACAAGACTAGAAATAAATATTATTAATATAATAAATAACATTTAATATAGACTTCTGATAAATATTTTTGTTAAAAACAATAATAGATTGTTAATTGTCGATGGTTCAGCCTATCCACATTATATTATGACCACATTTTCAGCGTCAATGTATAATTCGAGTCCTCCTCTATGGTGAATCAGCAGCGTCATTCTATTATTGTAAAAACAACAAGCAGTTTCCATTCACCAAGAGTCACTGTGTTCTACTACAGTTATTCAGGATTACTTGTACCAAAACATATTTTGCTCAAGATTGAACTCCTCTTTGTTTCTCGAGCACTATGGAAATGCTTTAGAACCGTCCTACCCTTTATAAAGTTTAGAAAGAATTCTCAGTGGTCGAAGTACTCCGTATATTCAAGAGTGACGATAACCTCTCGGCCATTAAGGTAGATAGATATCTTTGGTAGAAACGAGGTGATGTAGTGAAGTCGGTAGCAATCCAAAGGATGAGTTCTCCCACATATTTTGTAAGGAAGGACAGACTATTTTAAAGCAAGGTCTCTTACGACCGTACTGTTAATAGATCCGGATTGGCTACTGAAATTAGGATGATCATTTAGTAGGAAAAAAAATTGGGCTACAAATTTTTTTTTTTTCGAACATAGAATCTCCTGTTTTTATTTACTAACAAAGCCCATTATCATTATCTAAGATGTCCGCGTTCGCTTGGTAGGATAGGACGAATTATTTGTAACTGAAATGGTGTAACTAAATAAGAATAGTAGTTAAATGTAAGAAACCGGAATAAAAAATTTTAAAATCTAAATTTAAATTTAAAATTTACATTCATTTAAAAAGGAATTTAGAACTGTTTGTCGAAGCCTTTTTTTTTTAATTATCGCTATTTTCTAACAAAACAGGACGTAACTATGTAAGGATACCTTCACATTTGAGTTCTTGCTTGAAGAACCCGTACAACAAAGCACCACAGTGATCGCAGAATGTTGGCGACATGAACTGGTGCGGGCGGAAACGATGTGGCACGTCTACTTTAAACCGCTCTCGTAGATACTGAAACGATAAATAAATTTAACTATTATATTATACGATCAAACAAATAACTTACAGGACGTACTAGAGTCAACTATTATCAAAGCCGGCAATGTGGCTTTTGGACAATTATTGGTAAATCAGAAAAACGAATTATTGACTTTGTATTCCATTGGCAGTCACAAAACTCTTCTGAACGACATCTTAGATAAATAACAGGTTAAGTATTAACCTTTATTTAATGCAACCGTATTCTTTGAAGGAGACGATTATATTCAAATCAATCTGCATTGACATATCAATAACATTTTTTTGTCCAAATGCACAGATTGCCACCTTTGATAATAGACGACTCATTTAACAGACCCAATGTGAGGCATAAGATTTTTTTTTATAGCCAAAACGGGTGAACCAGTTCACGGCCTACCTGTGTGCTTAGTTCAAGTTTCAATTTCTAGATCTCGGTAAAAGCTAACTCAAATTTGTATGGAGTTGAAACAGCGCCCCTAGCGGCAAACGAAGGAAAGAAGTCGAGAACTTAAAAAAAAACTCGCACTAAGCAGACTGGTGTTAAATGGTCACGGGAGCCTATAAATATCAACCACGTTAATGCTGCCACCCACCTTGAGATATGAGTTCTAAGTCTTAGTCCTTACAGTCTAATGGCTGCCCCATCCTTCAAATCGAAGCGCATTATGAGTAGATAGATATCCGTGTGAGCTCATAAAATTATTGAATTAAAAGAAAATGAATCTTCGTTAATCAATTTTCTTAATGAGAAAAAGAAAGAAGACATTCACTGGTGGTAGGACCTCTAGTGAATCCGCACGGGTAGGTACCACCACCCTGCCTATTTCTGTCGTGAAACAGTAATACATTTCGGTTTGGAGGATGGGCAGACTTTATATCTCAAGGTAGGTGGCGGCATTTACGTTGTAGACGTCTATAGGCTCCGGTAACCACTTAACAGCACGTGGGCCGTAAGCTCGTCCATCCACCTAAGCCATAAAAAAACAAAAAGTAACATTAACAACAACAAAAAAACTATGTAGCAAATTGTCCATATCTGGTTTTCGAATTCAATTTGCGTCCTAACTTTTATTTAGATTTGTTACTAAGGACTTACCACCGTGGCTTCTGAATGTGCGGAGGATCCGGGACATTTTCCTAAAAGTTTGCTATGGCATTTCTTGTGAACCGCCGTCTGACAGACAACGCAGCTGTATCCCTGCTTCCCGAAGCCCCACAGGAACTCCTTACAAAACGCGCAGAAGGTCGGCTGACGGAAGAATTTCGCCACGAAACGATGACCGTTCACCTCATGGATTCTGTAATAGAATAGATATCTAAATATAATGGTCAGTAGTGTATTATACGTTTTATTCGAATAGTGTTTCATCGGTTTTACGAAATGTAAACAGTTGTAAACCGTTGAAGTCGTCGTGGCCTAAAGGATAAGACGTCCGGTGCATTCGTCTTGAGCGATGCACCGGTGTTCGAATCTCAGGCGGGTACCAATTTTTCTAATGAAATATGTACTCAACAAATGTTCACGACTGACTTCCATGGTGAAGGAATAACATCGTGTAATAAAAATCAAACCCGCAAAATTATAATTTGCATAATTACTGGTGGTAGGACCTCTTGAAAGTCCGTGCGGGTAAGTACCACCACCCTGCTTATTTCTGCCGTGAAGCAGTAATGCGTTTCGGTTTGATGGGTGGGGCAGCCGTTGTAACTATTACTGAGACCTTAGAACTTATATCTCAAGGTGAGTGACGCATTTACGTTGTAGATGTCTATGGGCTCCAGTAACCACTTAACACCAGGTGGGCTGTGAGCTCGTTCACCCATCTAAGCATTAAAAAAAAAAAATTGTCAACGGTAAATTAGTACTGTGACTATCGACACAGTTACAAATCATGTTTACTTTAAACTTTTTTTCATTCGAACGAAGAACATTTACAGTTCTACAAAATACACTAAACAGATCCGGAGTTGTAGGGAAACAAATAACTTAACATCAATCTTTGAACTCCGAGTGACTACCAACATGGATTTCTGAGATACGGCACATCTAAATAACCTACATTTTGTTTTCGAAATTTAAAATGTAAGTGAAAGCTTGACGGGCGGTGTAAATGAAGCGCTGAAACTTGTTAACATCAAAATATTTTAGAATATACATTTTATTCTCGTATAGTGCAATGAAAAAGAAAACTAGCGCGTGGTTGATTTGATATTTAGATATACTTATTCTCACTAAAAATCTTAAATGCAAACGTATCAACTTGAAGATAAGTAAGTATCTCTGCTAGACTAAAAGTACCTACTAAAATATAGAAATATTTTGTATTTTCTTCCGCTTTCGTTGTCGTTTTGTTAATTATTAATTAAATTAGTTACGAATATACGCGAGATTAAACCGTAAAAGTAGTTAGTTTTAAACGTGTTTAACACATTTGAAATTTGAATATTCTGCAGTAAGATTCCAAAGTTTTCAAAAGTACGTATCGAGTTCAAGGTAGACAATATATGTACCTATATGGAGAATTACTCGAAGGTAGCTTAAAAAAGGAAGTATCAAAAGTCTATTCAGAGCCGGTCGGAATAATTCGGATAGATACAATTAATGATCATGCTTTGCCCAAGACTGCACCATAAAGCAGTATACAAAAAAGTACAGTATCGTAATAGGTTGGGGAAAAGTCATTTCACATTATAGTATGTATGACCTTGTAATAAAATCTCTTTGGCTATACCATTTGTATATGACTGGTTTTGGTATCATTAAAAGCTTAAATTTTAAAGAAGATAATTCCAAATTCAAATTAGGAAAACGTGTGATTTTTATAAATTTTTCGTACTGTCAAGATGATCAATCTAATGAAGAAATTCGATACATTTTAAAATTTTACTACAAAAAAGGTAAAAATGCAACGCAAGCCGCGAAAAAAATTTGCGATGTTTATGAACCTAGTGCAGTGTCTGTGAGAGTAGCACAAATTTGGTTTAAGCGTTTTCAATCCGGAAAATTTGATGTCAAAAACGCACGTCGCTCTGGCCGCCTCTGGTATTACAAATAAAATGGATGCCATTTTTGAAAAAGTGGAGCAAGGTCGGAATATCAGTAGTTACGACGTAGCTGAAGAACTGGGAATTGACCACAAAAGAGTTTTGGCGCATTTGAAAAAAACTGGGTACACAAAAAAGCTCGATATTTGGGTACCGCACGAGCTCACTGAAAGAATCCTGATGAACCGTGTACTAATTTGTGATTCTTTATTACGACGTAATGAAAGCGAACCATTTTTGAAGAAGCTGATAACTGGTGATGAAAAGTGGATTACGTAGGACACGTGCGAAAAAGCTCATGGTCAAAGGCCGGTCAGGCTTCACACACTGTGGCAAAAGCCGGGTTAACTCGCAACAAGGTGATGCAGTGTGTGTGGTGGGATTGGAAGGGCATTATTCATTATGAGCTATTACCACCAGGCTCGACCATCGATTCTGAACTCTACTGCGAAAAACTGATGAGATTAAAGCAAGAAGTTGAGAGAAAGCGGCCGGAATTAATCAACAGGTTTGTGGTTTTTCATCATGATAACTCTAGACCTCACACATCTTTAGTCACTCAGCAAAAATTAAGAGAGCTTAGCTGAGTGTGCTTGGTGTTAATGCATCTGCCGTATAGTCCTGACCTTACACCTTCAGATTTCCAGCTGTTTCGGTCTCTTCAGAATTCTTTAGACAGTGTCAGGTTAGGATCACGAGGGGACTGCCAAACCCAATTGTCGCGGTATTTCGATCAGAAGCCCCAAAATTTCTATAGCAATGGGATCAGGTCCCTCCCTACAAGATGACAAAAACTTATCGAAAAAAACGGTACATTACATTACATTTAACTAAAGTATCTAGTACTTTAGTTAAATGTAAATAAACTGTATTAAAAAATGTTGTGAATTTTCTTAAAAAATGCGAAGAAGCCTTTTCCCCAACGTATTATATCATTAAGATAAAATTATAATTTTTTTACTTGATAATTTCTCCAATATTGAAAACAGATTGCAAACATACAAAACATCAAATAACCTTCGTGGGTAACTTCATATGGAAACAACCTTACCATCGATTCTCGACGCTGTTTCACGTTTCAATTCAACAGGATAAAAATAAGTTTATTGAATATGGACCTCTATCGATTTACCTTTTAATTTACTAACATGTTAGCTATAGGTATAAATATTAAACGAAACATTCGATTAAAGCCATCGATGTTCAAAACAAGCCACATGATAACAATCTATATTCATCCACATTAATTAAAAATACGAAAGTAGCTCTGTTCATTACGTTTTCACGCCAAATTGTTGAAATTCAACAAGGACCTATGAACCCTGGAAAACAGGCTTCAGTACGGGTCACCACCCACATAATATAATATAAGTAAGTGTAGCCCACGCGATATAAACCTCAGCACAACCGTGCGAAGCTACAGAGCGAAAACCAGTATCAAATAATATGTTTCACAAAGTTATTGATTTCGACTGGGAAACGACCCGCGACTTTGTGGTTCAACAGAATATGTCAGAAACGATCAGAGACGATCAAAATCACATCACGCGTTATAATAAAACATCATGTTTACATAAACTTTGATTGTGCCATCTCGCACTCAATTTACATTTGAAAAATAATTATCTTCGAGTGGGTCGAGGCGAAAATTTTATGTTCAGTACAGATTACCGCTTTAACGAATCGTGATCATAAAATAGAATTATGCCAGCATTTATTATAACGACCGCTTTACGCAACGTTGAGTGTTTTGTTTTTCGCGTGTATTTCTAAATCGACTTACAGTATTTCAAGTGTATCTTTTATTATGATGGAAAGGTCAGATATAAAATTTGCATGTGGTGGTTTTTTTTTTTTTTTAATTATCACGTGGTTCTCGTGTAGCATTTGTGTGTACGTTTACTATAAGGCTTAGCCCACTGAGTTTCTCGCCGGATCTTCTCAGTGGGTCGCGTTTCCGATCCAGTTGTAGATTCTGCGAAGCACTGCTCTTGCTAGGGTCAGTGTTAGCATCACTCCGGTTTGAGCCCCGTGAGCTCAACTACTAGTTAAGGTTACGTTGAAATAGCCTCTCAAGGCAATCAGATTAATTAGGTAGGGAAAAAAAGGAAGCTGTTGGTGTTGTACACTCGTAAGGATCGATATCACCACTCCGCAGATTTTTGCTGCGATGCAAATATGCGTTCTAAGACTCATATTTTTTTGTAAGTGATTCGCAAAGTGCATAAACACCAACCAACACCTTAAATGTCTCCACCCACACGAAATCAATGTTTCAATCGCAAAACTTTTTTTATATTTAAGCGCTGTATTCTTGTTTACAACTTAGTCAACAAGTTTTAAATAAATAAAATATTTATGCTTCAGAAATAGGCAAAACAACAGTTGTGCCTAATACGTATTATTTTGATTGTGATGTGGTTCGACACGAGGATGTAAAAATATAACATTAATATTTCTTACAAAATATCGTATGGTATTAGATAAATTTGTTTGGTTATTTAACAAGTTTACCTTGGAAAAAGATATACTATTTCATCCATATGCCAAGTCAACAATTTTAAAGTATTTTTAAATTTCATGATCTCATTCAAAAGATCTCACGGAACCGGAATTACAGAATATTTAAGTATTTTTTCATTGAAAGATGTACATAGTTAATTTTTGTGTATTCTGTATGCGAGTTAGTAATTCTTAGGGCAAAAATGAGCGACGTAATCTCGAGTTACTTATCAACAGTATATTTTCACGAACAACTTCCACGACAATATAATATCCAATTGTATAATTTCGAAACAACTTTCCTATTTATACTGTTGTAAGCTATAAGCTCGCACTGCACCAATATTGAGGACAGTCTTGATAGAATCTTTATCCTAATAAGTCGTCGTGGCCTAAAGGATAAGACTCCCGGTGCATTCGTATGTAGCGATGCACCGATGTTCGAATCCCGCAGGCGGGTACCAATTTTTCTAATGAAATACGTACTCAACAAATGTTCACGATTGACTTCCACGGTGAAGGAATAACATTGTGTAATAAAAACCAAACCCGCAAAATTATAATTTGCGTAATCACTGGTGGTAGGATCTCTTGGGAGTCCGCACGGGTAGGTACCACCACCCCGCCTATTTCCGCCGTGAAGCAGTAATGCGTTTCGGTTCGAAGGGTGGGGTAGCCATTGTAACTATACTGAGACCTTAGAACTTATATCTCGAGGTGGGTGGCGCATTTACGTTGTAAATGTCTATGGGCTCCAGTAACCACTTAACACCAGGTGGGCTGTGTCTATCCATCTAAGCAATAAAAAAAAAAAAATAATAATAATAATAAGCTTGGTAACAAAACTACAAAATACGACACAAACTACTTTTACGGTTTAATCTTGAGTTTTTATTATCATTATACTATTTCGGAAGTTTCGATCACTTTACAGTTTTCCTGATCACGGAGGACACATGGTCAGCCGTAAAAGTAGTTTTAATTATGTCTACGACTCAGGAAAACTCAATAAAATTATATTATTATATTAAATAATAATTATTATTATATTACATTGTCTATTTGTATGTATATTTACGGATATATGTATAGATGTTTATCTGTATGTGTATGTATATATATATTGTATTTAATGTATCGCATTGCTTAATAATTTTTTGGTGTACAATAAAGAATACTCTCTCTCTCTCTCTCTCTCTCTCTCTCAGTCTATCTCTCTCTCTCTCTCTCCCTCTCTAAAATACTACAAAGTGGGTCTACAGAGGTATCATCAATAAGTACTAACTTATGATGCTTGATAGCTCCGCGGCGCTGTGTGATCCGTCGACCCCGGGAGCGTCGCACCACACCCTCGCCTTCTCCGCCGCTCCCTCCGCCAAACCACTGAAACACAATACACAGAAGCGTAAAGTAACCATTTCCAAATCTAAAACACTATTAACAATACAAACATCGTTTAAACTTTATACTTCGTCCACTTTCAATAATAAAGGAAGCATTGCAGTTGTCATTCAAGCGTATTCCTTGACTATTCTGCCGAATGAATTCTAGTAACACTCAATACTAAACGGTAATTTACGAATTTTCGGAAATAGTACCTATTCTATTAAAGACTAGATGATATTTAAAATGGAAAAGTCATGAAATTGTCATATAGAATAGAAAAGTCAAGATTTGGAGACACCATGTTAAGGTCTCGAGTTTTGAAAAAATCTTTTCCCATACCGGCCTGAAATATTGCAATCTTGACAACTCTACAAAAATTAACAAAACAACACCCCTGTATAATTTACACCGAGAGATCAAAAATAACTTCTTTATCACGACTAAAAAACATGCTGAATAATAATTCAAGGAAAAGATAATGTGTGTAAGAAGAGTGATTCAGCATATTTACACGTGGAAAAACAATTATTAAAAAGAATACCTAAAGTATAATGTTATAGGTACATTACATTAGCATAACGTTATATTTTTTAAATAATTAAAGGTTAATACTTGTATTGTTGGTTTTTATATTATCGTGTCAGTCAACAGTAATTGCGGTGTGTTGACATTATGCCAATGAACTGCAGACACATTACAGACAAGAAGGCGACGAACGCTTACTTTATTTAATGCTATACAGAATACGGATTTTACACATCTCTTTTTTATAATTAGATAAAGTAGTCTAATTTTTTAGTTCTGCATTAAAGTCCCCTTGGGTTAATCAAGTAGTTATTGATTTATGTTTGTGTGCCGTGTGTATATCTGTGCAAGCTATTCTTAACGATGGCTGAGCCACAGTAGACGTTTGTATTAGGATTTTTCATCTACCTACTGCAAAGTGACATATTCAGCGTTTTGAAATCATTATTTCCAAAAAAATCCTTTTTACCTGTATTTGATATGAAGAACATCATTGACAAAATGTGTTTTATGTTTAGATACATACCTATGTTTATGAAATAGCAAGCACAGTGCATTCTTAGTAATAGTTTTCATATGAATAATAATGCAATTTGTATCAGAATAAGACATTAAATTTTTTTGGCCAAGAAGTTTTCGGTAGCCTTTTGTGGTACGGGGTTTTAGTTAGTTCGACTAGGATAGGCCCTACTTACGCCCCTAAAGCGTAGGCGAAAGTCCCACGATTTCCTCTTGACCCCCAAAAAAATACAAATCCGAAAACAATTACGTGACGTGACGTTATCAGAACTCCAGCTGTCTTGAATACATAATATGCTTTCTCACTTTTTCTTACACATTCACCAAATAAAATCATAACGAGCATTGTTATTACTGTGCTATTCATTTTGAAAAGTCAAACAAACTGATGAGATAAAAAAATATTGTAGTTTGAGGAAGTTTTTACTAGAAAAAAATAGGTCCATTAATTTATTGGGCTATTTAGATGGTTCGACGGATTCTGCACGGGTCCACATTACAATAGATTTATTGGCAATCGTTTTGTAAAAATTTACAAAACTATTGCTTGGCATATCCAAGCGATGCTTATTAACGAACCGTATCTATTTCTGTTTCTCTTCTCTCTGCCTTTTGTGAATTATAGATAAGTTACAATTAATATAAGGCGTGAAAAAAACGGTTGCTTTGTTTCGATGAGAATGAAACAAGCATCTCAAGAGTACTCTTAACTTAGTCAATAACAACTATTAGCTATTAGCTGTTAATAAATTTTTGAGAACATGAAGCCGTACACACACAAAAAAATCTTAACAAACAGTCCATAAAGTCGGATTAATCCACTGAGTTTCTCGCCGGATCTTCTCAGTGGGTCGCGATTCCTATTCCGTAGTAGATTCAGCGAAGCACAGCTCTTGTTAGGGCTAGTGTTAGCAGTTGTCTCAGGTTGAGCCTGTGAGCTCACCTACCGGTCCCCATGTAGTTGGAATAATCACTTAAGCTACCAACGAATCGGTAGGGAAAAAAAAGTTTTATAATATGTTTTCCGAGAAACGCTCAGCTACCCGCTCCGCTCGACACGTTGACATCATTTCATGTAGATTTTATAGACGCTGCGCTTTCACGTACGTTTTGAACGCTGTAATGTAACATTCATTCGGAGCCAAGAATTTGCGCTTCTGACGAAACACGAAATTGGACATACCCGAAACCAAGCAGACATCTCGCAATGACGTTCAACTCTGGACACATCCCGCACAAACTTAGAAATTGGACGAAAAAGTCATCGTACAAGAATCAATGTAGCGCCCTTACAACTGTAGGGACACAACTAGATGCGACGGTATTTGCATAGAAAGCGTCAGTGTTCCAATTCCAAGGTCTTCACATTCCCTGGCATGAATCCGGGTGATTACTGCTCCGAAATTCAGTGCGGATGTATAATGGCCAAAATTGAGTATACGTTTGTCACGTAGCGTTCGAGATGTCGCCAGTCACGTGAATGATCTTATTAATGATTCATACACTCTAAAATTAATGTAGGTAAATAGATTTATATCTATTGTTTGGATTGAGCTATGATTATGACGTTATAATTATGATCTGATTCGCGATGACAAGGCCATCAGATCTTCGCTGTCAACGACACGAGTTTCTGTTTGTGTGGAAATCCCAGGAATCCCAGGAATCCATTAATGACGTCGAATGTAGAATATTAAAATTATTTTTTGGGGTTTAATCTCTCGTTTCTTTTATTTCACAACAAACGTGAATATCTAGAAATATTTTTTATAGAAAAAATGACGGTAGTTCGCACACTATTAAAATGTGGACGCCAGCTTCAGCAGTTTAGCTTACTGGTGGTAGGGTGTCTTGTGAACCCGCAAGGGTAGGTACCACGACTCTACTTTTTTCTGCCAGTAATGCATTTTAGTTTGAAGTGTGGAGCAGCCGTTGTACTGTAAAACTGAAACATAGAACTATTGTCTCAAAATGGTATTTACGTCATTGATGTCTATGAGCTCCGCTAACCACTTCACACAAGGTGGACAGTGAGATATTCCACCAATCTAATCAATAAAAAAGAGCTTGGAAACGATTTCCTTTTGAGTCCTTTATTGTAAATCTCTTGAAAAATCATTAGCGTAATTCAAACTTTTGTCAAATATTTTCTGTTCTATAATAGTCATTCGCTACAAAGCTATCGATATGATCTCTTGCCTATTATTTACATGAATTGCGCCCGAGGACCCGAACCTTGTCATCTTTTTTTTTTTTATGATTGAAAGATTACTGGTGGCCCGGAGGCCTTTCCAGTTTCACCAGGACACGTGGGCGAGCAAAGACTCAGCCAGGAGGGGTGGGATTTGCTAACAGCTACCCGAGCGCCTCCGAAGGAAACCTAACAGCTCAAGAGTAGCTGCTTCGCGAATGAATCTACTACCGGATCGGAATCGCGACCCGCTGAGTAGATCCGGCGAGAAATCAGCGAGCTGATTCATGGGTTAGGTTGCACGGCGAACTCTTTGTCGAGTTCGACGAGTACGGTTACCGGGGTCCCTAAGCCTGCTCCTAGTGTTAGAGCTGAAGGCGTCTAGTGCAAAGGTTATTGGATCTGATGGATCCGTAAGGACGTGTCTAGGGCGTCGACGGTGACTGGCTCCTGCGTGATCAGGATTCGGGGAGTAGTCAGNCAGCGAGCTGATTCATGGGTTAGGTTGCACGGCGAACTCTTTGTCGAGTTCGACGAGTACGGTTACCGGGGTCCCTAAGCCTGCTCCTAGTGTTAGAGCTGAAGGCGTCTAGTGCAAAGGTTATTGGATCTGATGGATCCGTAAGGACGTGTCTAGGGCGTCGACGGTGACTGGCTCCTGCGTGATCAGGATTCGGGGAGTAGTCAGCGGCGGCTACGATAAGGCGATTATCATGACGACCTTGTCATCGTCACGTCACGAGATACAAGCACACTGAAGAGACAGTACAAAAAAAAACTTTCTCAATCTAAAATTTTTTATTAGCATTTCGTAAACACGATTTTAGTAGCATTTTGTAAACAACATATTTAGTAGCATTTTGTAAACAACATATTTAGTAGCATTTTGTAAACATGTTTCGAACCTAAATATCTACTTGAAACTATGTACGTTAATATGAATCGAGATCTCAGCAAACCAATAAAACGTTTGTTGATGGTTATGCTTATGGAGTAAACATCGTGGAGGAGCACCAAGGTTGAGTGGTAGTACCATAATTTGAGTTATATATAGATTGAACAGAACCGCGGGTGGATTCAATCGCATCGTTATTGTTCTGTGTTGATGCGTCACCTTTCATCATTGGTTTATCAACAAATTTCTAACATAAAATTAATAAGTGTTGTGTTCACGTTTGTCGCAAGGACAATAAATGTGAATTTGAGTAACAAGAATACCATTTACATATGGACGTATGAAACTTGTAACGCATTCACGGATGCTTCGGACGTGCTAATAAAGTATATAAGATATTAACACGTTTACGGTGTTGATTACATTAGTAATAACAAATAACACTAATTGTCTAGAAAAATTCAAAAAATCATGCTAAGTATGAACAAAAAAGAGAAATCATTTCGTGACTAAGAACAATAGATTATCGTAAATTTGCTTTCCCTAATAATTCCTAATCCTAATAATCCTTTTCGTAAATTTTGGTCTTCACTACATAGCAGAAAACAAAGTCGCTTTCTCTGTCCCTATATCCTTATGCATGCTTAAATCTTTAAAACTATGTAACGGATTTTAATGCACTTTTTTTTAATAGATAGTGATTGAAGAGGAAGGTTTATATGTATAATAACATCCATTAAATAGTGGAGAAATCAATAATAAATTACAGTTTCCGAAGCGAAGCGAGGGCGGGTCGCTAGTGATAAATAAAAAGGAATCAGCGAAGTACTGCCCTTGCTAGGGCTAGTGTAAGCTAATTCCCCAGACTTAACCTCGTGAGCTCACACGTTCGGTGAAGCTAGCATAACCCCTCGACGTTAGCATAGGTAAGCAAAAAAAGGAAAAGGAATTTTATTTTTGGTCAGTACTACAAAAGCTTTAATTTCTTTTTACTAAAATTTACAATACAGTCACCTGTATTACATCCAAAACAAAAAAATACCTGAAGTATGTATTCAGGGTCATTGACATATTAAAATAGTTTGTAACCTAAAAACTACAAATGGATCATATCACGCATTCACCTTGCTAACTCCTTTACTGTTTTCAATACTAACCTCTATATAATTTAAGAAGCAGCAAATGGATGTTTTGCGTCATAACATTGAGTTGTAAAACAATATTTATACGTTTAGCAAACATGCTTAAGAAGCAAAGACATACACAAGTACCAACAATTTGGTATAGTTATTAATATCTACCATCACATTAAGTGGTATCCCAATATCGTTCAACACTTTCCAGTTAAGATATATTTATTATATGTACAGATTTATATTATACATAATTGCTTATAGTTACTGGTGGCAGGACCTCTTGTGAGACCGCGCGGGTAGGTACTACCGCCCCCTACCTATTTCTGCCGTGAAGCAGTAATGCGTTTCGGTTTGAAGGGCGGGGCAGCCGTTGCAACTATACTGAGACCTTAGAACTTATGTCTCAAGGTGGGTTGCGCATTTGCGTTGTAGATGTCTATGGGCTCCAGTAGCCACTTAACACCAGGTGGGCTGTGAGCTCGTCCACCCACCTAAGTAATAAATAAATAAAAAATACATAATTGCTTATGACGTATATGCTTATTTTCAGAGGTAGGTCTGTTATTGCATATATTTTATTTATTGCTTAGATGAGTTGGCGAGCACACAGCCCCTGGTGTTAAGATAGACGTCAACAGCGTAAATGTTGCTACCCACCTTGAAACATGAGTTCTAAAATTTTGTTCCACAATACAACGGCTATTGCACCCGTAAAATAAAAGCGCATTGACGAGAAATAGGAGAACTTGAATCAATGGCGGATCCAGGGGGGGGGGGTCATGGGGGTCATGACCACCCCCTGGGCTGGTTCCAGGACTTAGGTGGACCACTAATTGAATATAATGATTTTATTTATATATTTTGTCACCATACAGATTTTATTTAACTACATACCTTCAATATTTAATTAATTTAATATAATAATATGATAACTTTGTATAATGGCAAACGCTTGGGAACGAACGCATCTAAATTTGACTATGTGACCGCCTCCTGGCGCCAAAGCTGGATCCGCCCTTGACTTGAATGGTAATGACTATCAAAAAGCTACGCGTAATTGTTCTTGCGGCTGTGAATATGCAGGGCGATAGCACATTATTTAATATAAGAATTAGGGGTTGCTATCTAAGAAAGATAGTTGAGGTACTGCGAATAAATGACGAAATTCGCATTTCGGTATCTACTGATTTTTATATGTCAATATACCTAGTCTTGTCATAAATACTGAGACAAAGGAAAAAAAAATCTATTGCAAACAACACTTATTACTTTTACGGTGTGTTAGTTTAATACATAAATATAAAACAATTTAAAGTATAAAAAGCTTATTCGAAGTGGTCTCCATTGGCTGCAATACAGTCCTTTAAGCGTTGAGGCCAGTTATCAATAGAAGCACACACTCTTTCCATGGGAAAAATTTTCACTGCCAATCATACAGATTGTTTTAGGGACTCCAAATTATCATGGCGTTTAGAGCAAGCCGTACTCTCTAAAACTGACCATAAATTATAATCCAGCGGATTAAGATCGGGACTAGACGACGGTCAGTCTTCAGCTCTGATGAAGTCCGAAACGTTCGTTTCCAACCAAGACTGCGTAGACCGAGCTTTATGGCCTGGCGTCTAGGCATGCTGGAAGGACCATTCTTGATTATTGAACATAGTGTTGTTAAGGGGCTTCACTACCTTCTCAAGAATGGTATCTTGATACACTTGTGCCGATGTTTTGATACCTTTTTCACAAAAGTATGACTCAGTCATTCGTTCATAGCTAATACCCAACCAAACCACCACTGAAGTCGGATAGTGCCCACGTTGCACTCTGTCGACTAATTGGGAAGCTTCCTTAGAGCTTTGAGCATAAATACGGTCATTTTGTTGTACGGTCATTGTAAAAATTTTCTCATCCGTAAATAAAAAATTTCTATGACCCCCCTTTGCGTACCGCTTCAGTAGTTGTTTCGATTTTACCACCCTATT